GGCGCCAATTCAAGTAAGCCATTTAGGCGCCAAGATTTGAATTTCAAATGGAATTTGAAATTCAAATTTTGGATCACTCATGTGTTAGTCCGTGAATGGTGCTTCTAGCCATCATCTAAGTTTAATTTAGCATGTATTTGGGTTGAATTTAGGTGCACATGTTTAGCACCAACAAGGCTTAAACCATGTGATCCAAATTCAAATCAAATGACTCCTAAATTAAACTTAGCTTAAGCCTAATAGTCCTATTATTGAATTCCTTCTATATTCCTAATTTAATGGCCTAAATACAATGGCTAAGCAAATACAATGGAAAGGAAAAATTACAAGAATTAAAATGAACCAAATATTGGGTATCAAAAGTCCAAAGGCCCATGAAACCCAAAACTAGGCCCAATAAGCCTAAAGCCCAAAAGTCCTATACTAAGGTCCATAATACAAGATCAAACAATATAAAATCCTACACTACTTAAAATGCAATAACAAGGTGGTCATCTATGCAAGGCCCAAGTGAAGAGAACCTTAGGTCTACCAAGCCCATTAGGTCCACTAAGTTCTAAAGCAGTCAAATCTTCAAGTAAACTCTTGACCATAACTCTAGTGGTTGGACCATTGGTCCATACTCTTTCATCACAATTCTGACTAACTTTTAATTATTTTGTATATATATTTCCATTATATATATATAAAATAATCATGTATTATTGTTGTTAACTTTTGATAATGTACGTGTTAAATATTTTGTTATAGATAAGTGATTATAGTCTGTAAATTTTTTGAATCTATTTTAAAATAGATGATGAATCAACTTGAATATAATCATATTACAAAAGTTTCAAAACTATATATTGTATTAAACCATAAATATATGTAAAAATAGAATGATTTTATCTATATTATTATACAAGATATAATAAATAAAAAATTCTCATATGTAACAATAAATGTCATGGTACAATCATAATTTCAAATTAATACAGCAGTTTATTAAAAAAACGTTTTTCAGAATTTAACTTAGGTATTTTGTTATATTTTTATTTATTTGAACAAAAATTTCAGGCTTGAATTATAACTTTTCCACCTATCTTCTCAATTGTTGTTTTTTCTTTTGTAACTTATATCTTTATCTATGACAAATAGACAATTTTTTTTCTGCTATGTGAATGAATGATGTCAAAAAATAATATATTGAGCTAAAAGTTTAGTGTATGTATAAGAGTAGATAGTTTTATATTAATTATTTTTAAATTTAATTGCATTTGTGCCTCTTAATTTTTATTTTGTTGAAGAATTTTCTGTATATATAGATGAGAAAATTAAATGAAGTAATTTATTTATTTTTGAAAAATTTTAAATATTTTGAGATAAAATATTTTATTTGGTGAAGAATTTAATAAGAATTTAAAATTTAAGTATTTATGAAATTTCTTAAAATGTAGAATTTTAAATTTTCTCAAAAAAGTTAAAATTTGAAAATTTTCATATATTTTTTTCTTTTTTATTTCAACTATATATCTTTTATCTCTATCCTATCTCTTAATTATTAAATGTTAAAAAATATTTTTAAAATTATAAAATATTATCTAATATTAATTTTTAAAATTATTAAATATTTTAAAAAATAAATAATATTTATTTCTATAAAATTTAATCTTAAAATATCAATATATATATATATATATATATATATATATTATACGAATATATTTAAAGTCAATTTTACCCATGATGAAAATCAAGTTATAATATTCAAACGACACATTTAAAAAATGATGAAAATTGAAATCAAAGTAATTTAAATTTTAAGAATTTCAAATTCTTTGGATCTCTAAAATTCCTCTTTCAAATATACAATTAAGTAAGTTTTTAGGGAAATCATGTCCTCTTATTAATTATTTGTCAAAATATTAACATAGTATTGATGTGACATGTCACAAAGCCATAAATCATTATAATATCAAAGTTTGGGACAAATTTCATTGAAACATGAAAGTTTGAGGATACAAATTACAATTATCTAATATTATTCTTTGTAGCTTATGTTTTTATCTATGACAAATGGACAATTTTTTTTTTCTGCTCTGTGTATGAATGATGTCAAAAAATAATACATCGAGCTAAAAGTTTATTATATGTACAAAAGTAGATAGTTTTATATTAATTATTTTTAAGTTTAAATGCATTTGTGTCTCCTAATTTTTATTTTGTTGAAGAATTTTATGTATATTTAGATGAGAAAATTAAATGAAGTAATTTATTTTGTTTTTGAAAAATTTTAAATGTTTTGAGATGAAATGCTTTATTTGGATGAAGAATTTACAAAAAATTTAAAATTAAGTATTTATGAAATTTCCTAAAATATAGAATTCTAAAATTTCTCAAAAAAGTAAAAATTTGAAAATTTTCATATTTTTTTCTTTTTATTTCAACTATATATCTTTTATGTCTCTCCTATCCCTTAATTATTAAATATTCCAAAATATTTTTTAAATTATAAAATATTATCTAA